ATATATATACATACACACACATATATATACTTATGTATGTATATATTATATACATATTTATACATATATATATAAACATGCATATCTACACATATTCATATATACATGTATATCCTCAATTATTTGTCAATTTATATGTGTGTGAGTGCTTTAATATGTTCATTAAAGTTACCTCGATAAAGTCCAAAAACTTCTTTGACATCAGCCTTTGACTCTTCCTCTTGAGAAAATTTATTCAGCGGTTCCTTCCATCGTCCCGTTCTACTTGAACCACTGTCGCTATAATGATAATCGTAGTCAAAGAAATACTCAGTGCCAGACTCAAAAAAGTAATCATCGTAGTCTCCATAATAATAGTAATAATCTTCTACATAATAATCGTAATTAATGTCGCTGCTTGGGTCGTAGGAGTCTGGGACGTGACAAGGTCGCGCCCTGCAGACGCCGCCGACGCAGTCGCCCATCAGACCGCAGTCCTCGTCGAGCACGCAGCTCTCGCCGGGCCCTGGGGAGCGACAGGCCACACGCGTGAATTACAATTTGTATTTGAATACCTCATGTTCCATATTTTCCAATGGTGGTTTTGCATCAAGAACACCTGATTTATGTAGACTGTATTTAAATACCTGCGCATGAGCCTTGACCCTTTGTTTCGCCAGGACAAAGGCAGTTTCCTGAAATTACGAATGGAATGACATAAACAGTATTAACATACAAAAAACACACATACGCACCTGTAGCTCACGTGCGAATGTATGGCAAAAATATTAGATGCTTTACTGTTCCTTACCAAACAGAGAAGAGATGCTCACAGATGTATCAAACTCTCCAGGAAAGACGTTTATGCTAAGAAATGCAGAAGGTTTTAGGAGCAATCATCGTGTATAGAACAGTTAGAGTTTGCTCCTCGTTCAGGAGCAAGTCCTTTGCCTACCTCCTTTTCACAGAACCAAGAAAAATGTCAGGTTAGCCCATGTACCACAAAGCCTATAATGGCGAACGTTCCCTGTCAGTGTACTTTTGGCAAATGTCGGAAAAGGTTTGAATGTGAGTGAATAATTTCATAATCCAAAGTCTCGATTGATAGATTACGTTTTCAGACTTACGCAGCTGTAGTGACTAATTGTTTATTTTCATCAAGAAATCTTATTCTGCACTTCTTAATCACGACACATTTGTGCGCGTGTCATTAGCTACAGGATATTAAACCAGCAGGAAAGAAGGTGGCAGTTACCATCGTCGATTACGGCCTGCACTTCTGGCTGAAGATCGCCCAGTTGCTCGTAAGAGTCCACCCGCCATACACAAGGTTCTCCTGGACTGGCGCTGGATGCGAACTGGCTGAGCAGGCTGTCGCTGAGCGTCACGTTCCCAACCGCCACCGCGCACCGACTCCGACTCGAATACCTCGCCCAGTGCGCCCGATTCGGTAACTCTTGTGAAGAAGTCAGCATTATCGCCGATCACAACTGCAGTACAAAAGCATTTGCATTATACGCAACAACTAATGCTTACTCATGCACTTATCAGGTACAGAAAGGTAAAGGTTAATCTATACTTACGTAACTTTCTGTGAGGCTTTTTGAACAAATCAAAATCTTTTCTACTGAATTCGAACTGCAAAATATTTTCCAGCTGACAGAGATCGTCGACTTGTCCTATTCCGGTGGTTCTGAAGCTGGTATCAAGCAGGTGGACTCCATTGACGGAGAGAAACTGAAAGTGCCACGGCAATCAGTCTTCGAGTTACACGTGAGATCTATATCTAAAGTGCAGCTAAGTTCGTGATTAGAATATAAACTGTCGTCTCACCTATACTTACTTGTCTTTCACAGATAGCCATATAAGTTGACAACTCTTGCGTTTACTTCCTCAGAATCATAAGAGGGACCATATGGCCATTCCATCGGTAGAAATGACACTGAGCAACCACAGTCGTCTCCTGTATCTAAATATAGAGAAGTTCGTGTTTACAAGGTTAATGTAATGCAAAAGAGAACTATCTCAGCTGATGTTGATGTTATAAATGGTCTTGGAAATTATAATTTTTAGCACTGGCTTCCCTGCCATGAGCAACAAATTGATTATGCTTTAAAGACGTAACAGTGTCACAGTTTAGCGTTGTTCACTTAGATCATCACTGACATCAGAGGAGATATTTACCTAGCACCCGTGGCGTGACAACACCTACGGTCGCAAGTACTAACGCAGCAGTACTGTAGTGCGAGGCAGTCTTCGTCACTCCTGCAGACGGGCCGACACTCGGCATCCGCTCCGCCGAGCGACGTCCTGTCAGGGCAGCTGGTGTGAGGGAATGGGTATGCGCCTCTGCTGCTGTAACCTTGTGCCTCAAAGTTTTCGTTGCCCTCAGAAGTTTCCCACCAATCTACAAGTATACGTTTTTTAGTACATGCTAGTTGAGTTTCAAGAGTATCGTCAAAATGATTCCAAAAGCAATTGAATATTCATTTCCATACAAAATTATGTGAAAATTCATTCTATTGTCTCACAGTTAATCACAATTCATAACTCTCGCATACACTCTCGATGAAAGCAAAAACAGAATTATGGCATAAATGATAATGAAAGAATGGGTGAGCAGAAGGAATGATGAGGTTGGGAGTAGAAGGGATGGGGCGAAGGGAAACGAGGGGATCTTCAGTCTGTCGTTCTGAAAACCGAGCTTGGCGAACAGTCTGCAGAAATCACTTGAAATTTACAAACTCACATAATTATGGAGCTACATAGTAAATCATAATATTTCATGATCGATTTAGATGACATAATCCAAATACATTTACAACAAATTACATAACCAATCGTGGATATAAGTGAACTATACTCACTTTTACCATAGCAGCATCTGTCGTTAAATTCCAAGAGAAAGATCTGCTCAAGTTATGAAGAGAATTTAATGTTTTTCTTCATTCCATCTTCACAAGAAGCGTTCAATCTGCAAGCAAGCGAAGACGTTCATTCGAAGGTTTAGAAAGTTCATGGCACCTTTCAACATGGCTTTCCTTTACATCCAAAGTAGTACTATTACTGTTATTATATATTACTGTTATTATTACTACCATTATTACTATTGGTATCTGATGCAAATACACCGCATTGAAGTAGTTAGACCAAAGAGTTTATGCATATTTATTATTTACACGACTTAAAGAGGAAAAGGGGGTAGGAAGGCAGAGATATAGTTGGTAATGATATAGTTAATAATGTTAATTGTTGTCATTATTATTATTATGATGATTTTTATTTTATCACTATTATTACTATTATAATAAACGCAATAGTACTAGAGCTGTAAATATGATAATGATAATAACCATCATCATCCTAATGCCAACAACAACAAAAATAAAAAGAGATTATTTAGCGCCGGGAAAGAAAATTTGTAAGTAAATAAATAAAGGAAATTAAAAGAAATAATATGACGCAGATCCCGAGAAATCGAGCAAAGCAATAATCAGTGACAACACTTCGTAATACCTGAGCAACCTGAAGCGATCTGCCACGTCTCCGACTCAGCACCCCTATGGCCCCTCTCCAAAGCATGCCTTGGCGCCTTCCTCATGCGGAACTTGGCTCTTAGCCAAGGTTTGAGAATCACAAACACAGGTCATCCCGTCGGCCTCGAGGCGGTTAGCCGCGCGCCACTGCGGTGAGCGAGGAACTGCTCGAAAGGGCTTTGAGACAGGCCACGCAGGTGCTGGACCAGCAGGTGTTACTGAACACCTGCGTGTTCAAAAAAAAAAAAAAAAAAAAAAAGAATCATGCACACACACCCACACACACGTGTGTGTGGGTGTATGTACACACATAAGTAAAATTGTATATATATGTGTGTATATATATACATATATATATAAATATATGTATGTATATATACATCTGCATGGGTATTTTATTGTACCTATACCTACAAGTTGATCCTACACCCAGGTGGACGTAGGGAACACATCAAAGAGGAATGTGCCTTCAAAGCCGCAGGATAATGTCAGCTAACCTAACCCCAGCATGCTGATGCAGGTACTCAAAATCAGCTGAGTTGTCTAAGAAAGGCTGGGTATGCAGGGCATGAATCCGGAAATTCAGCTCCACCTCATACCATTAAGCTATATATATATATATATATATATATATATATATATATATATATATATATAATATATATGTATATATATATATACATATATGTATATATATATGTGTATATAATATATATATACGTATATAGTCATATGTACATATATACATATAAATACATACATGTATATATGTATGTATACACACAACATAGCGTATTATATTGTTGTATATATGTATGTATACACACACACACACACAACACGCATACGCACGCACACACACAACACACATAGGTATCATATGGTAATATGTATATTAAATTTATATATAATCTATATTATTATATTATATATATAGATAATATATTACACTATTATATTTGTCGCCGCGGCAGTCGTAAAAATGTATTCACACAGCTGTTCACGCACCAAGACCGCAAACAGTGCGCAGGACTCTTCGAGTGAAGCTTCCGCAGCTTCGTGGTAGAAGAGCAGGCTATGTGGCGCTGTTAAGAACCAGGCCTCAACCACGTGGCGCCGCGAATGATGCCAATCATGGCCCCCCCCGAAATCGCCAACCTTTCTTAGACAAAGAAAGCTCCTTGAAACACAGATTCCATCTAACGACGCAGGCAACTCCTAGAACCATGAAACCTCTCCAGAAAGAAACAAGAGGGGAAAAATTAATCTCGGGCGCGTAGTGGGGAAACGAAGAGGAAAACAAAGAAAACTATGTGAGTACTATCATCGTTATCACTAGTCGTAGCGCAGTACGTGTTGCTATACATCATTAATATTAATTACTGTTCATAGGAGGTATGTAACTACCGAATTTATCTTGTTATTTTTATTCATAATCCCTGATAGCATTGGCATGCAACTACGTTATATGTACTGCTAATATTA